TTGGGTGTTGTGTCTGCACGCTGTCTAATATGCCTATGCAGGATTTAGCTAGGGGGCTTTATCTTGTATATATAAAGGGCTAGCTAAATATACCCTAAAGGTGTCGGGCTCATATATATATATATATATATACATACACCCATAGGCCCCATAGTAGTTCTTTTGGGGGTTCATATTTAGAATCCTATAAGGTAATCCCAAAAAGGAATTACTCTGCGGCCTATGGGTATATGTATATGTATATACTCAAGCCTCTTTTTTAGTCATTATTTAAAGCCTGTACACTAAACCCTACACAGGCTTGGCTTCAAAAACCGAAAAAGCGATTCCAAGCCTTCAAGCCCCATAAGGTGACTCTAACACACCCTAGAAAACTGTGGCAGTGGTTTAGGGTTTAGGGCTTAGGGTTTAGGAGACCCTGCAAAAGCTTTGGCCCTTCTCTGAAGCCTGAACCCTTAACCCGAAAGTGACTCAGCGCGAAATCCCAAACCCCAAAGCCTTAACCCCCAGATCATCGCAGGAGTTGACATGGCGAACTGGACGGCAGAGACCTGGCAGCCGGGATTGCGCCCTGACCATGTCAGACTCAGAATACCATAGGGGCTTTAATACTTACCCATACTATTTTGGGCGCTCTGTGTTACGATTCCTATAATGCTTCAGGTAAGGCTCCAGGGTCGTTTAACACTAAACCCGAAACCTAAAACCTGCCTCAAAGAGGGCGTGTGTGATATAATCCATGATGCTACAATCGTTAAGATATAGTGCACTATGAGTATTGTAGAATATTCAACCCTCTAAGATTCGCAGAGACTCTATTCCAAACGTCAAGGACCCTCTACTGTCTGGTGCTTAGTAGGGAATGGGGGAATGTATCCCTATGATAGTCCCTTAAGGTCCCTTAGAGTACTCCCTATAACCCATTCCCCCATTCCCTACTAAGTCTCGGAGATTTTCAGGTGGGTAGTTACCGTTATACGAGCCTTGTAGAAGGTCTATATACCTTATGGAAGCCTTATAGAAGCCCTATACACCCTAAACTCCCCACGTGTAGTTTCCGTTAACTACCTAAGCACCAGACAGTCTAGTAACCCATTCCCCCATTCCTAAGCCCTAAACCCTAAATCCCTAAACCCCCAAAACCCTAAACCCTAAACCCCTAAGCCCTACTAAGCACCAGACAGTCTAGTATCAGGTTCTTATGGAATCCTTAAGGGAGGGGGTTCTAAGGGGGGAAAAGAACCCAGTAATCCCCAATTCTTCCTAGTACTCCCTTATAGGTTCCCTAAAGCTCCCTAGGACCCTCCCCCCTTGAACCCTCCCTTAAGGATCCTATAAGGTTCTCCCGGGCGGGGCACCGACCCATCCTCCGGAGACGTTTGGGGCTCTGGCGCTGCGGCCTTAGATATTCGCCGCCTGGCCAAAGTGCGAGGATTCATGGGGTTTTTGTTTAGGGTTTAGGGTTTAGGGTGGTTTTTGTAAGAGTTTGGGGTTTAGGATTCAGGGTGCATTGGTTTATGTTTTTGGGGTTTAGGGGGATATTAAGGCGCCTAGATCTCTTGAACTTGCTCTCCTGGCCTGCAAGTGCAACGGAAAGTCCTGGCACCACGTGGGTAGTTCTTTAAATTAGGGTCCACTTTTCGGCCCCCCCAAAATAGTACGGCACCCTTGTAAAGGGAATCCTTAGTTTGGAGAGCTCCCCACATGCGGTTGGGCAGCGATGCTTAATCGAAGCCTAAGGACCATGAGCCCAGCAGCTACAGTTCACGGCTTAGGATTTAGTGTTTGAGTCTAGGACATTTTCAGGTGGGTCGTTACCGCTACAGGAGCCTTATAGAAGGTCTATGTAGCTTATGGAAGCCTTATAGAAGCCCTATATACCCTAAACTCCCCACCTGTGGTTTCCTTTAATTGAGGTTGAGGTTTTAGGCTTTACTTGACCCTTAACTGCAAGCGGATCAGCTTTTTGCGATGCAGCCATCGTGCTCCGTCCCCTGCCAAGTCATGGCATCTACGAGTCACGTTTTTCTTAGTGTGCAAGACCCAGGCCTGAAGAATTAATGCAGTGGCCTGAATAATTAGAATATCCTTCCTTAAGATTCCTTAGCATGTTTCTACCCCAATCAAGGCCCTACATGTTGTTTTCCTTGGCTTTGACTTGTGGTGCGATGAGCGAAGCAACAGAGTCTTGCAACATGCTGCAAGTTTGGTTGCCCTCTGGGGAGGAAGCAGCTAGCGTTCCCATCTCAAATGCGGATCGTGTGCAGCAGCTGAAGCAGCATTTGCACATGCTACTTCGGGTCTCACGGTTCCGGCAGCGAATCGTGCATGGAAATGCGATCTTGCATGATGATGCCCAGCTTGCCTCGATTACGGACGTGCAGCTGGTGGTGCTTCCTTTTCTCAGCACTTCCGAGCAGAGTGCCAACAACTTCGTAAGAGCAGTGCGTGAGAACTCCTATTTCTTGGTGGTGGACATGTTGCAAATGCAGCACGATCCGAACACGGCCACGCACTCCCTCAACGAGCACCTCACACCTATCCAGGCTGCCGCCAAAGCAGGCCACACAGGGATGGTAAGCTTGTTGCTGGAGGCTGGAGCGCACGATGTGTCCGACGCCGGCGAGCAAGTGGCTCTTGCTGCTGCTTCGACAGCTGGCCACAGGGAGGTGGTCTCCTTGCTGTTGGAGGCTGGTGGTCAGAGGGACTGTGCTCTTCAAGCCGCCTCTTGGGCTGGCCAGGTGGAGATTGTCCGTATGTTGCTGGAAGGGGGTAGTGTCTACGAACTAACAACTCGTGGCTATCGTGAAAGTCTGGTAGCTGCGTCGACCGCCCACAGCAAGCAAGTCTTGTCAGTGCTGCTGGAGTATGATGTGCTGAGCTTCTTTGACTGGGGCTGGCCCCGAGCTGTCCTGGGTGGGCTGGTGGCCGGATGCAAGGCCACTTACAATAGAGTTGTCGGAGTCTTCCTCACTTCGTGGTGCGTCTTGTGGTTTTGCGACTGGTGCCGTGCTGTCTCCGTGCAGGATAAGAAGGAGGCGACGGCCCTCGTCGTTGCTGGCATTGCCATGTTTATTCTTCTCGCCATCCCGTTCGAAGTTCTGTTTTTGCTTCTGGCGTCGTGGCTCATGGCACTTCGGAGGGTCTTGTGCAACTGCCGCTGTTGCTCCAGGCGGTGGGCCCGGGCCCCGCAGAGATAGCATCAGAGAGCTCTTGGAGAACCACGACGTTGGAGGATTCAAGGTCTAATATAGGGGCCCTTTCAAAAAATTACCTATACTCTTTGGGGTTCCTTATTACAAGTATAGTATGACATAGTATAGTATGACATACCAAGACCTACTCTAATTATTAAGGCTGAAGCCTCTATATTATCAGGCGCGACAGCGGAGTTCGACAAAAGAGTGCTCAGCCGCTCGTGCCTAGAAATGCAACCCAGACTGAACAAAGCAATACCGTTGACTGAACCAGAACGAAGCCATAAGCAACACATGCAAGCCTAGTCTGTAGCGGTGAAGTCAGCGATATGGTATTCCTTTTCTCATCGCCGTCACCGGCACCTTCGTCCTTCGTCGTCATCATCGCCATCGTCAACTCTACCGCTGCTAGTAGTTACTAGCAGCTAGCATCTGAACCACCATCGCCATCATCGTCGTCAAGTATTGTCCTCATCAGCCCCACGGCATGTCCAAAGGTTAGGCTTTTGCAGTTCGGCGGTGTATCTGGAACAGATTCGGGACAGGCTCTGAAGGACCCGAACCCGCAAAGGATCTCAACCTTGAAGACCCTGCCTAAGTTTTCGGCTTAGGGTTCAGGGAATTTTAGGGTTCAGGGTTTAGGGTCCTAAACCCTAAACCCTGAACCGTTGGGGTTTAGGGTTTTAGGGGGTTTTGCGGTTAGGGTTTAGGGGCCATTCTGCGACTGGGGGTCCTAGTGTCCGAGTCTTGCAAAGACACAAGCCTGACATTTTGGGGGGTTTAGGGTTTAGGGTTTAGGGCTTAGGGTTTAGGGTTTAGGGTTTAGGGTTTTCGTGGGTTCTGTTTAGACTAGAGGGCAAATCGCCGAATTCGGGTTGAGGGTTTGGAGCTACC